GGCTGCTCCACTCAGAGATGAGGAAAGAAAAAAAAATACAGGAAAATGCAAAAAATAATCGAAAATAATCACAAAAATAAAATAATAAATTTGTAGTCAAGGCATCATCTCCATTAACCAAGTCCACAGACCCCATCCGGAGAAAGCGATAGTGGCCATACACAGAGTTTGACCCGGACGCAGGTCCAGGTTGATCCTCCTTTCTGGGCTCGTTTGGGTTCCGGGTTTGGTCAATCTAGATTTGGAAAATAATAATCCAAATTATATCCAATAGGGTAACAGGGTAACAAGGCAATAAAAGTAACAAGGTAACGAAGGTAACAAAATAATCAAGTGAAAATACCGGTTGATGTCAGAGCCACGGGGTGGTCAACAAGTGGATGTAACTAAAAAGGGTAGGTCACAGAATGTTTACCTGGTCCCGGCCTCACATTTGCAGTAAAATGACCAAAGTTGACTGAGCGTGGGACTAGTGAAAGCAAAAAAAAAAAAAAAAAAAAANCCCAAATCAAGTTGGGAATCAAGTTGAAATCAAAAGAGAGAAGGGAGGTTCAATCCTGAGACCCATATCAGATCCAATAATAAGTCGGGTTTAGCGTTAATAAATTACCAAACCGTGTTATGCGAGGTGAAGGGCTGTGAGGGTGCGCAAGCATGTAGGTACGCCTCCGTCCTGCAAAGAGAAAAGGGCTAAAGGGGGGGGGTTGCCGGGAAGCGCGGGGCCTAGGGAGGTTTGAGCACGGTGGCTGGGTAGTTGGATGTACATAGTACGGAGTACGGAGTACTGTGGGAAGGCAAAGGAATGAACCAAAAAAAAAGAAACCAATAATAAGAGAATGGAAGATCAATTACTTGGTTGAGGACAGAGACCAAGAGACCAAAGAGAGAGAAGATCGGGAGTCTCGGTAAGAATGGTGCATTCTTATGTAAGAAGGCAAAAATTACTAATAATCTGACCAATCAAATAGGACAATTTTATAAAATACACGTATAATACAGTATACCACAGTACCAAGAATGGTCCACTAAAAAGTCTCAGACCAAATTTCCCTTTTCTCATTTCTCTTTTCTTTTTCTTTTCTTTTTCTTTTTTTTGCTAATTTATCCCGTGTACGACCGGACCACGGTCCATGGGCTTTCATACTTTCATCTGCTTGCTTCCAGTTCTATCACACCTGTGCTCGCGTACTCCCCGACTTCTTACTATCAGCCATTGGTTCATTCCCATATTATGGGTTTATGGACGGGTTCGGAGATAACTAATAACTAATTATTTGGACATGTTCGTGTCTTTTCGTGTTCTAAAGTCTTGGGCTCATCCCGCGTCTCCCCTGCAGCCCACTGTTCCGGACGACTTTCCTGTTTATGATTCAGGGGGAATTCATCATAATTACAGGATACTATCCCAGTGATGGACCAATTTGATAGTTCAGGAGCCTCGGGGGAGGGCCGGAATCCCGTTGTCTGATTCGTCCGGCTCTTATGCACTGGACTTCCCCAAGGTATTTTTTACTACTCCGTACTCCGTACCTCCCACAGGTTGGTCACCACATACCTACGAAGTACTTGGTACTCTGTACTTTACTACAAACTACGAAGTACTAATGGTACCTCTGTCGGTATTTATGTGCCGTCTAAACCCTGCGTTAAGCCGAGCCTGGAGTGGCATATACCGGGACTGTTGCCCCCAGTGGGAACAATTGGCTGTTTCACTCAAAACACTGTTTGACCTATCTATACTTTGTAGACGTGACAACCCTCACGTAAGGTGGCATGTAGTTGCACCTATGAACTTGTGATCTAGTGCAGTAGGCTAGAAAAGCCGAAAGGGTGCAACGGGCCCAGATCGGCTGGTGGAATTGGAATCCATCGGCCACTCGTGGCGTCCCAACGGTCATCCCTTCGAGAAAAAGCCGAGATGATTGTGCCCAGAAATGTGAAATGTGAAATGTGCTCACTCGCAAATTATTACGGAGTATTGACATCCTGGTACCATGACATGGAAGTAGTCTAGTCTGTCTACTTAGGTACAAAGTGGGTGTGGTCTCTTTCACAGTAAGCACGCACGGAGCACACATCCATTTAGTAGACTCCAGATGTCTCCCCCTAGACGCATGCAAAAGGCATACAACATACGAAGTATTGAACCACTTGAATCTCAAGAAACCTTCATCCCCGAAAGATCATCGGGTGGACACCAAAGACACTTGGGTTTATCACACCACCAGTTCACATCCGAAACCAGGCAACTTGGGTAACCTCCAAACTTCCCTAGGGACGATCCAAGTGTGCTATTTTGGTGGCAAACCCACGGTCAAGCTGAGAACCAGGTGTTGGGTTAGCAAATCGTGGACCTTCATTAACGATCGGGCGAAATTTAATAAAAGAAATTGCTCTCTCTCTCTCTCTCCACTTTCTTTGGTTTCTGAGCCACCGCCACGGAAGATGTTTCGTTTCTAGAACCCCAGACAGAGAAGGTGGATTTGAACAAGGAAAAGTCCACTGTGTCATAGTGCTCCATCTTGTTAGACGATCCATGCTGTTGTCGATGGTTTCAATTTTTATTCTTTTTTCAATTTTCTTTTTTTCTTTTTTTTTTTCAAAGTCGCTTTGGGCTAAAAGAGACTCATGATTGGTGACTTACTAGAGTGACCCCCGTCTTTTACTATTTTGGGCCAAGGGTGTGTTCACTCGTCACAGTCATACAAAGACAAAAAGAGAAGCCTTGGGAGTCACCTTCAAAGGTTGGGAGGTGTTTGACTCGGAGCTTTGCCCTTTTGTTTCCCCCTTGATCTACATTCGCTTCGTCTTCTCTTCTCTTTGGTGGGTCGGAAATAGAAAAAAAAGGAGTCTTCTGAAATGGATAGTCTTTACATTGCCATCCCGGTTGCGGCACTGTGCACAATTCCCGACAGCTCCACAACTTACCTATCGCCTTTGGCGGGTGAGATTCCTCGGCACAGTACTACCTGCAAAGTTCACCTGGGCACAATCAGGCTATTCCTGACCATTTTTGTCTCTAATTATTGTATGGAGTACAGGAAGAGTGGAAACAAAAAAAGATATATATTAATTTGCTTTTTTTTTATGAAAAAAAAAAGACCTCGCTTGGAAAGGATCAGGTCTGGAAGCTATCATCCCTTGTGTTATAGCCAGGATCCCACCGATGGTCACGCTCAGATAGGTTGTACCTTCGACCATTGGCGCATGCAGTTGACTGCGACCGCTATGATCGTGATATTCCCGCAAAGTCATAAATTCGAAGGTGCATCGTCTACTGACATATGTGTGTCGACTCGATGCACGCGGAACCTCATCCTATCATGGAAAGAAATTATCAGAGCTCACATCTTTGACCTTGTATCTGAAGTACCTCCATCATGTACCAACCCTACTATGCACAGTCACGGGGCACTTGGGAACACCTCCGCAGCACTGTACGCACTTTGCGTAGAACCACACTTCAATTTTGCCTCTTGATTGGGACTAAATATCCAAAGTTTCCGCTACACACCTTGGGTTGCGGGTAGTATGCTCCGTACGAGAAACCCACGAAATCTGGAATCTAACCCTGGTTAATAATGGTTGGGGTACCCAGGTGGCTGATCTAAGTTAGCAAAGCTGAAGTCAATCACTGACTGATGTTGTATTTGCTCCTATACCTAGGGATTGTACGGAGTACATTCTCTACCCTATATAGAGTAGCTTCTTCTATAGTATAATGGTAAAACTAACAGATGTCCCGCTTACTCCGTACTCAGTCTCAACTACCATATATTTTTTGTGGCTCTCAATATTAATTACACGTTATACTAACACCTTCATTCATTACACGGCGGGGCTTGGGTTCCGGTACTAGCCCTCTGCGCCCGGCATCTACTTCCTCTGGAATTTTAAATTGCTTGGAATATTGTGACATTTGAATTTCGGTATTTTTTCCCCTTCGTTTTGATTCCTTTCAGGTAACATATATTATGCGTCAGTTGCAAGGCCCAAAAAAAAGAGCAGTCTACACTTGCGAACACACTCAGGATCTCAATGCCGTGTTCAACCACCTTGCTGTGCCTCTTACCCAGCACGGCTCCTTGCATGTTCTCATCCTTGCGGGTCTCTACAAAGTACTAAGGGCAACGTAAATATTATGAACATTGTAGAAACCCTAGTCATTTCCTCGATATCACATAACATCACACGTAGTATTGTGGTTTCGCTATCGGGGCATGCACTATCTGGGATTTTCTCCGCGCAACCTTGTAATACACAGGTTACAATTATCTACTCCGTACGGAGTCTATCATTGCGGATTATCTGTGATTTGATGCGCCCGAGGCTATATATTCTGTTTTCAATTTCAATAGCATAAGGCTGCTGCAATTAATCTTCTCTTCCTGGCGTCATTCGATCCACTCCCGGGATGAAGGAGACGGCATGCAAACATACCTAAAGGGGGATAGCCGCTTTGGTCGAAGAGGGATACTTTCTTTAAGCCTGAGAGTAATTTTCATTCGACCCCAACACCCAGGAAGTTAGTGAAATTAAATTGGAGACTCGAAATTGCAGATCCGGTCCTTTGGGTGTCAATTACAGTGTCAATTACATCGTATAGATTGTCAGTAAATGTTAATTTTACTTACGGAGTAGATAGTTTCTCTATGACGTCGGAGTCCGGAGTACAACGTTCTATACGGAGTATATTGTATGTGATATACAACATACCCTGAAGTTGTTGGGTGAGACTGCTTGGCACCCAGATCCATGGATATTTCTAGTGCTGCAGTCTCACAATGATCAGATCCATTTTATCCAACTGCACGCCACCTACTCCGTATAGGGTGGCCCTCTCTCTTTAGTCTCTCTTTAGTCTCTCCCAAGCAGTCATCGACAGATTGCAGCAACCTGACCTTTACCTCGACCCTCGGAGGTGCATACTTCATCAAGGGCAAATGCAAATGGGCTCGGGCACACAGGACCGTGTGACAGAACGGGGTCATCTCAAGCCATCAGTTGACGTCTTTGAGGCTGATCTCTGGTTCCAGACTTTGTGCTTCAGCCCCCAGCGTAGAGGGGTCAAAAGGCAGAGGTACTCCGTAGAGGGGGTGGATGAGCCCACACAACCCACATGCTCGAAAGGTTTCAAAGACAGAGCAGGGCGAGGGGCAATAATCAGCTAGCATTATGTATTATTATTTTTTAGCTTTTTGACTTTTTGCTTAACAAGGACTTATCTCGGAATTTGTCTGGATTGTGTAAAGCGCCCCGAGCACATCACAAAGCAAAGCGCAAAGCGGTGGTTTCAGGCTCTAGCGCTGGCGCTGAGACTAACAGGGTCTTGAATCTTGACTTTTTGGAAGTACATCAAAGACTGTTTGCTCCCATCATTTGACTTCGGCAAATTCGATAATCTACCGCGCGTTGACTCAATGGAGCCTTGCTCGGGGTAATCGATACTCTTTTTGCCCCCCGCTCGGTGGCTTATGAGTGATCAACGATCAATGAGGTTTTGACGGTGTAGAAACTGAAATCTGTTGTCTATTCCAGCTGAGGGTACTTGCATATGCTCTGCTATTGTCTACAATGTAGACTGCAACATATGTTGTATATAGTGTAGTCGGATTCTAGAATCCATACAATGTACTCGGGACACACGGCCAATATAAATTGTGGGGGAGCATAGGATCTATTACGTAGCCTTTGTCTCGGGGGTTTTGAACGTCCAAGATTAGTTTTTTTGAGGCTTAATAATACCAGGTACGGAGTACTCCGTACATGGAGGGGGCATCGGTCTCGAGAGTCTAGAGCTCCGATAATAAATAATAAAATATGCGTAGTGGTCACGACTCGACGATCCTAGACCGCGCTGCACTCCCGGTATCCGGTGCCAACAGGGAATAAATTATTCTGCCTTAGAAACATTTTACTTGGCTTTGTTGCTGTGAATGGTGGAGCAGTCAACGCGTACAAAAAAATTCGACTACACCATTTCTTACTACGGAGTATACCACAAAGTGTACACAAGATCACATATTCCGTCTACATCCGGGGGCCACTTCTTGTTTTCACCTTTTTTTTAAGGATTATTTGACTTTAACCAAAATAAATAGCAGAAGTGTTTCAACTCGGTGAGCCGTCCTATGGGAAATGGCTCCTCTTCCCCGGTCTAAGACGTGTTGCAATGCCAGGTACAGTCCCGAGGCGAGCTGGCCATGTTCTTAATCTCCAGCCAGTAGCACTTTACTCTCTTGTATGTTGTAGATGTGAAATGGAAATATCCAATAATACTGATGCCAGGATGAAATTCAAAAGATTAAAAAAAAAAGAAGGATATGCGGCAAAAGAAACCTTGGGAAACTTCAGAATGTCACTTTTTGATTTTATGTGGATCAGCGGACTACCCTCGCCTGCACAGCACCGTGGGTGAACAGCACATATGTCACAGTCATCGACATCTTACAGATCGAATCATCGTTCGAATATCCTTTGCAGATTCACATTCCGAGGTAAACGACGAGAATTAGCCGTGAAGATCCAAAGACCTAGACCCAATCACATTTGAATTCCCTCCTTCATGATCATTCATTGCGTTTCCAAATGTATACCAGTCGCAACTAGATCTTTGACCTCCCGGAGTTGGTGGCTGACGACGCCTTTGTCCTTTCAAGGTCCTCGAGGCAGATGCCATTATTGAGACATGGTCATGGCCATACCCAGGGAACACAGACCAGTGGCGGGTTTGTGCTTTTAGCGTAACCGCCCTCTCACCCTTCGTATTCTTTTCAACTCTTCTCTTCAGTAATCACGGGTTGGGGCACAAATCCGATCAAACCTTCAAGGTTTCTTTGTTGGCCGTCGAGGGTTTATTCAGTCGTGTTATTTCTGAAACCGACCAGGGTTTTGTTGGTTCGATCATTCCTTGGACTTTAGCGGGGTTGTTGGCTGCTGGTGACAGGCGACTCACAGCTTTGCTTGGGGGTTATTTTCGTTTGCCTAGATCGGAGTCGACTGATCTGGCTGGGGTGCACACCATTGTATACCGTCGATTGATTCCTCGATTTTAAGTTTTCAACCACAAGACACCAACGACTAACTAATACAAGCCGACTATTCTCATGCAAGTTGCATATCGGTCTGGCCTTGCTTCGAAAATGCGAGTCTGATGAACGCCGGCCTAGCCGATGCATTCGTCCTTGAATATGCGTGTCTCTCCATTGACAGCACGTGGAGACCGATTTCTTCGAGGCGCCTTAACTAAGACACGCAATTCTGGCCTGGGACTTATGTTCTAGATTATTGTTTGACTCACAACGCCACAACACAAATTGGGTCTTCCAGTTGACTCAAGAAGAATCAAGCAAGAGACTAATTAGGGCTTCATGGGTGAGAATTTTCGGCTAGTTTGGCTATGCGGTTGATATGACCATTATTGGCTCGGAAAGCCTGGCGAAGTAAGCCTGCCTTGTCGCTTTTGATAACTCAAGCAATCCTCTTGTCAGACATTGCAGGTCACTGGTCTGTGGAATGGAATAATTGACCATCCCCGTTGACATCAATTCTGATCTCAATTGACATCCTAATCTGATGTCTTGTTACTTCGAGCCAATGACGGCTCCCTGTCGATAGACTCAAGTCAACAATATTTCCCTGTCGAACAAATGCATCCAATGCATCTAATACGTCCACTGAATCAACCAAATAATTTGACAGACAAGGTGAAATCCCAATGGAATACCACCGGGTTTTACATCCAGATGTTACTCAGAGATACAGACACGAAGCCACAGAAGCACCTCCAATATCATAATTCGGCCTCGCCATAGCCATAATGGAACCACACATTTCCCGGATCCGAAATATCCCATGAACCGACTGGCCACATTCTCATCTCGCAGTGCGGCTATATGTATATTTCCCCCGTAACACAGGCAAACGGGCCCCATGAAGACCCGAAGCATAAGCGATGTCGAATCCGACCAGACAGGGCCGATGGAAGAAAAAGGAAGTACAACTCAAGACATTCCATATTACACCAATCCAAGCTGCATCCTGCATACCCATGCCTTCAACACTCTCTAATGCAGATATGATACCTTGTCCGACACGGAGACTCCGATATAACCAACTAACCCAGGTGCAATCCAGATGGACGCGTAGACAAGCAAAGGCAGGGCAATGAATGAGCAGAAGGGCGATATTATGCTCGTACCCGCATATAATCACACTTGTACACTCATCAAGCAGGGTTTCAGCCTACTCAATAGACAAGACTCACCAGTTACAGGCTCCCAGCACTGCTTACTTGCATACTCTGTGAGCGGATAGGCATTCACTAGCGCCGTCGTGTTCGAAATCCGTCCAGGCTGTCTCTCGTAGATACGTGTGGAATCTGTCGTATCTAGGCTCTACTGTTGCTGCCAGGGCCTCTAGCGTAGTTCTTGGGGTTGGGTATGTTCTGCTCCCGGTTTGGGATCGAGGGCCGTGGACTGTCCATCTTTGCCGCCTATCAGAGAGCTTGGGATCCCCGTTGAATTATATATTGTGCTATCCATATCATATCATACCCAGTCAGACTTTGGTCATTATGATTGTTGGCTTTGTGTTCGTGCTGACATCAGATCTCACGGATCACAAAGCTAGCATTGCTCTTGATGTTCGAGTGTCTGTTATATCTAAACATGATGTCTCGGTTGACATCCTGCCTTACACATAGTACATGTTTCGCCGACGCTCTGGAGATCTGAGGTCATATGGCAGCCTTTGGTTTGCCTCGAAATGTAGGGACGGCCCTCGTTTGTCTCTATATGATGTGAGCAGAAACAAAGCATATTGATTGCTGGAAACATTGGATTGACCAATGAAACGGGAGCTCACGTGTAAATGTATTAACTTCTCATATTGGCTTGCACTATGAAAAGGACATTTGATGTTGATATCACCTTATACCTTCCTTGGTCTCACTTATACTTATATCTGAAGCGTCGAGACTGCTAGCTACTCCTCTAGCAGATTTCCTTTCTGTGATGCGTCATATCGAAGCTGGTATCAAATCTCCACAAGAAACAAGGATCAGCGGGTCATAGACGGCGAGCAAATGTCGGTCACAGAGTAAAAGTCATAATTGACACGAGAAAGACCGGGAGTCCTGCCCATTGAGCACATCACGAGTACAATTAATCTCCAACAGGCGATGACAGGCCGATTTTTGCCGACGTTTGCTATGTGTAGTCAGGCCCGTCGGGATTTCTAAGGTTAGATGGAAGAAACCGGACAATGAAAGTGGAGCTTCGAACTTCCCCGGATTTTGCCAGTAGATAGCTCTAACGGGTAACGTCAGAGATGTACCAGATATGTCTGGGAGTGCCTATATAGAGCGCAAAATTATGCGGAATAGATATGCGGGTAATACCGGTTTCGGGTCGGAGAATGTCGTAGGGGTTGGGGATTGGGGGCGGGGAGGAAAGGGGGAATATTGGCACAGAGTAGCGATGGGGGGTGTTCTATGTCAGATATTTGAACTCCAATTCAAAGATGATTGAATGTGAAAGATATTGCATAGTTTTACCCCAAAACATTGACCGATAGACCGAGTTTGAAGTTCCCCGGTTAATTTTCTCCTCACCGGTAGATTGCTTGTCCCCTCAGTTCTCCAATTTTATTTTCCCTTTTTTTCCTTTTTTTTTCCTGTTTTTTTTTAGCTTGTGATATTGAGCAAATTACTCCGTAGACGGTTATTATATAGCCTCGCTAAGAAATAATTACCATTTTCACTATGATATTATGTTATGAGCTCAGAATGTTGTATACTTGCAAATAGTATTTTGAATACACACATGTAAGAAAATTGGCAGAAAAAGAGGACAATGTAGACAGTACTTGGATTTACTGCAATTAGCACGCAATCAGCCAAGTACTAGATACACGGCTACCCCCTTTGGTCCGGGTACACCGATTCGCCCAAAGCAGCAACGTAATGATGGAGCTTATCAAATCCTTTTTTTTCCTTCATAAATTTATTGAGTCACCCTTGATAATTCATCCCATTTGCATTCCCTTAGCTACCTTTGGTGCGCCCTTTCACAATGGCTGGCAGCACGCTAGCAATTCGCAAGATGGCTCCGTCCATCATGCAGCTGTCGTCGATGACGCGTAGATCGATGTCGACCTCGCAGGCCCTTCGCGCAAAGCCGATGCGGTCTTCCCAGTCTGTGTCGCGTATCGCTCGTCGCGGCTACGCTGATGCTGCTCCTTCGCCCGCTCCGAAGCCTAAGAAGCGCTTCAGAGCTCTGCGTTGGGCCTGGCGGTTGACCTGGCTCTCTGCCATCGGTCTGACCGGTACTGTCGCATACAGCATCTTCGATCTCCGTCAACCCCCGGACCAGGCCCCGCCTGACCCATCAAAGAAGACTCTGGTTATCCTCGGTATGTGTCGCAATGGTTGATCCCTTACGGCCGAAGTGTCGCTAACGCGACCATGTTCGTTCAGGAACTGGCTGGGGCTCCGTTTCCCTCCTCAAGAAGCTTGACACCGAGAACTACAACGTTATCGTCGTCTCCCCCCGTAACTACTTCCTTTTCACTCCCTTGCTGCCCTCATGTACCACCGGTTTGATCGAGCACCGCTCGATCATGGAGCCTATCCGAAATATCCTGCGCCACAAGAAGGCTAGCGTCCAGTTCTACGAAGCCGAGGCCACCAAGATTGACTACGAGAAGCGGGTTGTGTATATCAGTGATGATTCCGAAATCAAGGGTGATATCTCGCACACCGAGGTTCCCTTTGACATGCTTGTGATCGGTGTTGGTGCCGAGAACGCGACTTTTGGTGAGATACTCTCTCGCATCTGAAACTATGCATTTTGGACTAATTTTGTGACGTATAGGTATTCCCGGTGTTCGTGAGAACTCCTGCTTCCTGAAGGAAGTCGGTGACGCCCAGAACATCCGTAAGCGTATTATGGACTGTATCGAGACCGCCTGTTTCAAGGATCAGACCGAGGATGAGGTCAAGCGTCTGCTGCACATGGTTGTGGTGGGTGGTGGCCCCACTGGTGTCGAATTCGCCGGTGAACTGAAGGACTTCTTCAACGATGACTTGAAGAAATGGATTCCTGAAATCAAGGACAATTTCCACGTTACTCTCGTCGAGGCTCTGCCCAACGTTCTGCCCATGTTCTCCAAGCAACTGATTGAATACACCGAATCGACCTTCAAGGAGGAGGAGATCTCCATCCGCACCAAGACCATGGTCAAGAAGGTTACCGACAAGTACATTCAGGCCGAGGTGACCAAGCCCGATGGATCCAAGGAGCTGGAGACTATCCCCTACGGTCTTCTTGTCTGGGCCACCGGTAACGCCATCCGCGGCGTCGTCCGCGACCTCATGTCCCAGATCCCCGCTCAGGCCGAGTCCCGCCGCGGTCTCGCTGTCAATGAATACCTCGTCGTGAACGGTACCGAGAACGTCTGGGCCGTCGGCGACTGCGCCATTGCCAACTACGCCCCGACCGCCCAGGTTGCTGGCCAGGAGGGTGCCTTCTTGGGCCGCCTCTTCAACACCATGGCCAAGACCGAGGCTCTCGAGCAGGAGCTAGAGACCCTCTCAGAGCGTCAGGCCCAGGCCAAGGGCGACGAGGAGCGTAACCAGATTTTCGATGAGATCCGTGAGCGCCAGAAGCAGCTCCGCCGCAACAAGCAGATCGGTCCCTTCCAGTACTCGCACCAGGGCTCCTTGGCCTACATCGGCAAGGAGCGTGCCGTGGCCGATATCAGCTGGCTGAGCGGCAACATCGCCAGCGGTGGTACTATGACCTACCTGTTCTGGCGCAGCGCCTACCTGAGCATGTGCTTCAGCAGTAAGTTCCAAGTTCTATCCCCTACATTGATTGAGATTCATCATTAACATATAATCCAGCTCGCAACCGTGTCCTTGTCTGCGTTGACTGGGTCAAGGCTCGTCTCTTCGGTCGTGATGTCTCCCGGGAGTAAACATCTCCACCCGGCCTCGATGATCTTCTGTAATATTGCCAGCTGCACTACATTTTCCTTTTGGTTATTAAATGCCTTTCCTGACACATTGACTGTGTAAATGGATGTGTCCCGCTATGCCCCCCTTATGCCACCCCCACTATCCTTGTCTTTATTTCTTTTTGCACCTGTGACCGTGATAGACATATCCATTTTCCGTCTTTTTCTCATGACACACTGTTGGTGCGGCGATTGGTTCCTCCAAGAGACAAAAGCATTAATTCGCGTCTTCTTTGTTTCGCTTTCGGCTTCTTTTAAGACTGTACTGTACGCAACAGGAATTTATAGACTGGGTTTGGGATTGTTGTATTGAATTTGCCATTTCAATCTGTGAATCATCTTTCTTCTTTGGGCAGTGTGATCATCACACTGCGTGCCTCTTGCTCTCTAAATGATATTCCTTACTTTATTTTGTGGCTGAATATCACAGATCTGAGTCAGAGTCATGGAAAGCAGCGTATTCATGTCCGTCCGGTGGTCTCACGCTCTGCACGCGCACATCCCAGCTTTGTGCCGCCCTATCTTTTCTCGTTCTATAAACCACATCATGATCCACATCTCCCATCGACGATTGAAGTCCTCGTACCAAGTCCCACGTCCAAGTGTCCTCACTGAATTGAGGCCAAAGACGATCTTCAAGATACGGCGAATTCCACGTATCAAGCACGACATCCGTCTGTGGATTGGCTGACTGACATCATCGCCTCGACGTAGTAGGATCCCCGGTTCATCTGGATATCCGGATGACACCTGATAGAGTACCTTTTCGGGCTAGAATGGCTCCAATACACCCTCCAATCAGAGAACGCTGCAGCCTCATCCGAGGAGTTGACAACCAGGTCGTAAATCATGTTCATACGAAGCCCACCGTACCCTTCCAGTGAGATTTCCCACCGGCGCAAAGGCATCTGGTAGGGCGAGGTCTTTTGGCGCTCTACCCAACCTAACGACATTGCCGGGGGCTGTTGGGCTAGCATTTGGCGCCAACTTACGCTTGGATGGAGCCATGCGGTGTGTTTGTCTAGAAATTTTTGCATGTCCCCAGCCCCAGATGCAAAATTGCGGGATGATTGATAAACTCCGGAAAACCAATATGGAAACTTTACTGCTAGTAAGGGGGTTTGTCGCGGTATGGTTGTCTTTGGGAGGGTAAGTTGTATAGGCTAGAAGAACACGGCTTGCTGGAGTATTTGAGAGTCTCAGATACAACGAGACCAGCGTCGACAGACTCGTTGGGCGAGTAGGAGTATCTGTTCGTCATTTACCGATATCAGAATGATCTCTGAGTTCTTCGGGAAAGTTGTCTAGCCCCATTTCCGGGCACCAAGTGCGTGTAGTGTCTTGGAGGAAAGACAATAAGTTAGGTCAATTAGTGATTTCTAACTCAGCAGGGTAATCTCGTGTAGGTGAAACAATCTAACTCCATAGAACTGTATGTGGAGCTATCTCTGGGGGAACTATTGTTCCTTTGGAGGGCGTTGTAGATAGTGAAGAGAAAAAGAGGTGATATAGTACTATGAGAGCTCGATAATTAAACTCTACTAAGAGTATCAAGAGCATTCCAGAGTCATTCGAACTATTACATTTGTTTCGCTCTACTATGAGAGTTTCATAGGGCTATATAAATACATATTTATATAACTTATATATATATATATATATATCCGTAGTTATACACAGAAAAGACACCTAAAAGACTAGCTAGAAATACATCACAAGGCCGCGAATGCGGCCAACTATTCTTGTGTATATATAATACAAGGGTGCTTTTCAAACCTTACAGATTTACATCTTCATTGCTGTTCACCTTTTCCTTTTGCCGAATGAGATGGCTTTTGAGGAATCTCGGGTTTCCAGCCTTTAGCCCTTTTCGCCGCAGGTTCAGCGATGTTGTCCGCTGGAGAAGGCCGTTTAGCACCGGTCGGCAAATTGATATTCAATCCAGATGCTCTCTCAAGAATTGGTAATGCAGTGTTCGGAGTACTGTCTGAGATGAAGTTATCTACATTTCCGCCCCAGGTGGTTATCACACTTTGACAATTAGCGCAAGGTATAGTCAATGTACTCAATGCCTGTTGGTGGTCGTATGTATCTTCAGGTAGTCTAGTAAGCATCACTGCAAGACCATACACCTCCTCACTAGGGGCACGGTTCCTAGTTCGTTAGCATGAAACGTATAGGATCTCAAAGGTATGGACTCACTGTAGAATGATCACAAGAGGATAGGTTTCTGCGCAGTTTCCAAAAGGAATAGGACGGCCTCCTCGACCCATTAAAGTTGTAGACTCAAATGTTATCCCTGCCGTGTCAATTCTCTCATCGCGAAGGACATCGAAACGGGCTCGCTGCAGAATTTTGACCCAGCGACTGCCCTGCCCCTCTGGATTTCGATAACCCCCGAGCGATGCTCCCAGGTGAAAGCGGCTCTGCTTGTCATTTTCCTCTGCCCAGACGCACGAATACACCCATGGGGCCATCGGAGCTATCTTGCGAGACCAATTGGCGTACATCATGGTTAGAGGTAAGTAGAAATTGTCGTGTGTGGCACCTAGGGGTGCTGGCCCAGTAAGAGAAAAGAACCTACCTAGAAGATCAAAGGGGCTCCAATATGGAATACCTCCATATTTCATTATATCTAGCAAGAAGTATGATTCCTCCTCGCTAGCTGCTGCTGGGTTAATCATCCTCGAAACCGCTTGGGGGCAGGAGGCTTCAGACTGATATCTGCTCCCGTTTTCGCTGCAAGAATCCGATTAGTTGACAGAAACACAAGGTTTAGTTAGAGGACATCCAGCTCACATAAGATCGAGAATATCGGTGCGCAATCTTTTCAATTCTGATACGGCCCTCGTCTCCACCCCATAAGTAGAAGGGTTGTCTATAATTTCGATCATGAAAATTTTAATCTGCGCATAGTTAGTCTTGGTTATCTTCGAGGATATGAAACATTCTATAGTTGTAGGAGCTTACTCGTATTAGGCTCCAATTATATGCATTTTTCAAGTTCACTCGGCCATTGCAAGCCGGCAAATATGCCTCGGCGGAAGGGGTCATCGGGGCTGTTGACATTGTGATTGTTATATTGTCCTAGGTAGCCTTGCCTTGTGGGCAAGTAACTGTTTAAATGATCATCCACATTGGAGATTCGTTCCTTTGTCGAGGACATGCTATTAGTTGTCATGAAAGACCTGTCAATTGTGCACCAAAATAACGTAGATCACCAAAGACCAAAATCTTCGAATATCTTGGAAACGTGAAGATACAAGGCATATAATTATAGAACTCCCTAACTACCGTAAATATAAATAGTCAAACAATGGCAGCGGCACTATGAAAGAAAAGAATAAACAAAGCACAAATCATTCCATGTCACTTTCCATGTCATTTAATAAACTTGTATGATTTCTTTGTTTCAGAAGTATCATGAGCCTTTCTTATATGGCCCAAAATATCTCCATCTACGGTTGTGCTTCCGCCATAAGAAGTCTGCCTAGGTATATTCTCCATTCTCGGCAGTCTAGGGAAATGGCTTCAAAAAAATCAAAACTACCCAACCCCAAAAGAGTCAATTATCCGGTGAGCTGACCCGAATATATTGATATGAACGAAGCTAACCTAATAGGAAGCCTACTCGCCGGTCCAGGAGACTTGCTGGTCTACAGCCTCAGACTATATTCCTCGACAAAGCCGAGCCTCCACCAGGTAGTCCACGTTGGCGGGTAGAGCCTTTGAATCTCACGAAACCGACGCGGGTAAGTAATATATATTGTTCCATTTCGATCAAAATTCTGGCTGATGACCAACAGTGGGCCCCAACTGACCCTCTTGGATTCTCGAGTGATCCAGCGCTACTTAACTACGATGAATGGAAGGGAGAATACGGTGCTCAGAAGGTCATGACTGATACTTATGGCCTCACCAATTGCGTGCCGGTGTTTATGTCTCAAGATTGGACTGACACCTTCTTTGAATCAAATGGCAGATACTATCTTTAGTGTCGCTATGGTAACACCATGGTGCGCATCCTTCATGATCTGGAGGAGATCAAGCAAATAATCAACGATTGGGGACCAGGAGCACTGTCCATGGAATACATGGGGCCTGTGTAAGTTGGCCCTTTGATAGGAAGCCTCACACGTTCATTATGTTGGCCTTGACTTGCTGGCCAAACTCCGGGGTACCTAGGGTTTCTATAGATCAAGGACGGAGAAAGGATAATTAGAGGAATAGATTATCGAGTTTGTGATGAACGACCTAGAGCTATGTACATTGACTTCTAAACATTTAGAGATACATGCTATCTCAGGAGGGGGGTGTAAGAGGAGAAGCTGGCTAAACAGGATAAAGAGGGTGATCAGAACACCAGCAGAGGTATCAAAACTCCAGACTGAGAAGAGAAAACGAGTGCATCGCGCAGGCAGTAAGGGGGAAGAGTCAGAAAGCCTAAACATCGTATCTTCTAGAAAAGGTTCCAACGGCTCCGCGTTTCTTTTCCAGGAGGCGCACGCTCTGATTTCCGGGTGCGGCCGTCAAGCTGTCGAATGCCTTCGATCTTCTGCAGAGCAAGCTCCAGCAGCTCCTTCTTGCGGATGACGTCCAAATGACGGCGGATGCGGGGATCTTCGCGGGCAAACATTTCGACCTCGGCGTCTGAAAGGTGTCGTCCAAGTCTTGAATCAAGCTCACGTGGGAAATTATAGTAGAACTCAGATAAGAGCTCGACGTTGAGGAATAGGACGGCGGTGGAGGTGAGTTTATCGGCGACAACATCCAAGAAGACCTCTGGACAGTAGTACTTGTTCTTTTGCGTTGCGCATTGCTTGGACCGGACGGCGAGAAGTCTCATCTTGATAAGATCCGCTCGGTCCCGAAGGAAGAGGCCTTCTCGTCCTAGATAATATGTCAGTGTATGTCACTAGAAGAAAGAACGAAATACCAACCTCTCTCCAACAAGGCGGCACTGAAGCCACCCGCGCCGCCCTCGCCATTGCCCTCTAGTACTACTTCGCCCTTTCGCACTCTGTCGATAAACGAGACAACGTCTTTGAGTTTTCGCTTTCCAACACTGTCTTCCACATGCTTCATGGCGGACTCGCACGACCTAAGCTCTTCCTTTAGAACTTTGCCCACGTTGTCTCTGCCTTTAGCCCATTCAGGATCTTCGATCTCGATCTCAAACTTATATGGCTTGATGCAATTTTCGACTTGATCGCTGGTGCTGAAGAACTTGTCATTCAGGATACTGGTGCATGCATCGGTGATCTGTTTGCGGGCACCAGGGTGGGAGGCGAACGTAGATGAGGCTAGGAGCGAGTCCACATGGTTGTTGAGAGAATTGGCGACAACCGTCGTAGCCAACCGACCAATTCCAAGCTTCGTTAATGACGAGGTAGAAGCATCAAGCTTCCGGTGCCAATATAGCGACTCAGCATCGGCCTTGGGAAGATCCTTGAGGGGATCTAATTCCAGCGGTGGAGGATCTAAGTCCTCGACTGGCTTGTTCCAATAGCGCTGCGCCAGAATGTCCATGACCCGCTGGTCCAATTCTGCTTTGAGCATCTCCCGAACCTGCGGCCGCCCAAAGCTTTCCGCGAATGCCTTGAAGGAGTGCTTGAATGCATCGAGACTCTCAGCCAAGTGGGACTCCGCGCTCAAAGGTCGGTCATTATATTGAACCTTGAACTCATAGGTTGCCTCTTCAAGCTCCTGGCTGATAGCATCTCTGGTCCCAGACAGGCTAGATGACATGGTCTGCTCAAGAACTTGCATCAGCGTTTTCCGCAGCGTCGAAACACCAACTGAGACGTCAGAGTGGGGACCGAATTCATTTTGATGCGCAGTGAAGTAGGCATGTTCGTTCTTGAGAATGGCGCTGGTAATATTTCCCGAGCCTCTAGAAAAGAGAGCTGTTGTCTGAGGAATACGGGTAACAACACCCACATAACCTAGCCGAAGAGGGTATTTTTTATCGGAAAGGACGTCGTGGCCACGTTCGGGGCTGACAAGGTCCATCTTTGTAATCACACCGATAGTCCGTTCACCCCGCGGGTCTACTCGGCGACTGGCTCGAAGTGCTGTCGAGTTTGCCAAGTCAACATCGGCGGCCGAGATCGCTAAAATGACATTTGGTGGCTGAATATATTTATCGCAAAGATCAGCAATCTTTTGTTTGAGCTCCGGGGGCTGATCCCGGCCCGCAACCTGGATATATCCTGGCAGGTCGATCAAAGATAGATCCGGAACGTTGGGAGAATATATCGTAAGCTGAATGGGATCGTCTGTGACACAATCCTTCTCAGGAACGGCAAGGTTCAGATCTGTGAGAGTGCGCTGAACCTGAGAAAAATCTGTGATCTTCCCGAGACCTAGCGCCGGGAATTCACCGTATTCTGCCTGAGCGTTGGGGGTGTTGACTAATGTAAGCTCGATTGGGCGCCGAGTGACCATGTTCGAGCCCTTGGGCAAGAACTCATGGCCGACGATAGCCTCAAGAACTGAGCTTTTGCCCGACGACTGGGATCCAATCACAACGATCGACGGAAGACTGAGTGTGCCGGACTGGCCGATGGTCTGAAGAATATTTCGGATTTCGATCATTTTGCGTGTGAGCAGCATCATTTGATCATCTTCCGCAGCATCTCTACCCGGCCGTAAATCTTCCTCTCCGGATTTATTGTATCCAAACGCCGTAGTAGTAGCGGCAGCGGCAGCAGCAGTACCAGCCCGGGATTGTTTCGGCTTCTTGCCTCCACCAGATGAATCGCCCTTTCCAGACTCAGACTCCTCGTCGGGACGTATGATCTTCTGCAGCCAATCGGGTATGTCAATATCTTCCGTTGTCTTATTCCACCCGCGTTGTGTCTGATCCGCCATGTCCTGTAGTCCCTGGAACAAGGTCGAAGCTGTGTTCCCCGCAGTCTCCGAGGCTTGTCTGAAGACATCCATCGCATAGTTACCGGCCTCTGTGAGATTAAATCAGCTTGAGATTCCACTTGTAGCGAGCTTCATCCACGAGAGACATACGAGTTGCTTGGTATTGGAAATAAGCTAGACCCGCGATTGTTGCACCGCCGAACATGGCCGGAACCCTGACAAGCTTCAGTGCCAGCTTCGGAAGCATTCGAGCAAATGAGATTGATCGAACAGCAGGGACGTTGTGGATGGCATTTGCGCCCACTGGCCATGCGCGTCCTCTGAGAGCAGCGCCACCATCTGCGCGTAGCAGGCCGCCGGTCCTTGAGCCTGCATTATGGATATGGCGAGCTAGGTGACCGTTCCGCAATAGCGGTCCTAGTCGATGGGAGAGTATCCTCCCACTCATTATTGTTGTGATAGCATTCAATAGACAATGGAAATAAGAGTGATGACCTTGTAGATTACGGATCACTGCACATGTGACATCAACCACAACTAACAGTCCCCGTGACTTGCGCAAGTAGCCGCGTAGCCTCCCGTAATAGCACAGTCACGTGAAACATGACGTGCTGTGCAAGGGAAGTGACTATTCTTTTGTGTTGATTTCGTTTAAAACAATCTTCTCTCCTTGTGATCCGTCACATAATTACAGCTCGAATATACTATTGTTGGGCTGTAAGATCGCGGTTGACATTTGGGCATCTCACCGGTTCCCAACAGTCGGTGACTCTTCATCCGCCCCGACCCCCATATATCCTTTGACCGCTTTGTTCGAACTACAAGTTTGGTGTACATCTTGAAGTTGTTAGTAAAGTCGAAGGTGGGATTTGATACAGCATCATTCCAATTACATTTGATCCAGACCAAACATGTGTCGATTCCTGGTAAGGTTCATCCCTCCAAGCATTGGGTTCAAAGCTAATGTCTCGATCAGATATACAAAGGGCGAAATGAGATCCGTCTCAGTAAGCTGATAACTGAGCCAAGTCATTCAATTCTCACTCAATCATATGACTCGCGTCTGAGACTGGTGAGTAATCCCATCTCGCTGGGTCAGACCCACGTGGCTATCATATCGCAACCCACTGACATGTAAAATCAAGGATAATCGCCGTCCTGTCAACGGTGACGGCTTTGGCGTGGGCTTCTACACAGATCCCAAACTTGGACCAGAACCTTGCATCTTTACTTCAACACTGCCTGCCTGGAATTGTGAAAATCTAGAGCGACTCGCTGCAAAGACATGCTCAGACCTGATTTTTGCGCATGTGCGCGCAACAACTGAGGGCGCTCTTGCCGAGAACAATTGCCACCCATTTCAGCACCAGTCCCTGATGTGGATGCACAATGGAGGTATCGGCGGGTGGAACTACATCAAGCGTACGCTGGGAAGCTCACTCGCCGACAAGTGGTACCTAGGTGTGAAAGGTGGCACCGACAGTGAGTGGGCATTCGCCCTGTTCCTTGACTTGCTAGAAAAAGAAGGGGTTGATCCAAGCTCTGACCCCGGTCCTGAGGGATTCGGACAGGCTCTTCTACGTCGTGTTTTGATGAAGACCATTGCTAGAATCAATGAAATGGTCAAGGAAATTCCAGAGAGATATAATGTCACCGGAGTTGAGACTCGGAGTTTGTTGAACTTTGCTGTGACAGATGGCCATACTGTTGTTTGCACTCGGTACATCAGCAGCAAAACAGATGAGCCTGCTAGCTTGTATTTCTCTTCTGGTACTAAGTGGAAGGAAGGTGAAACGAAAGGACACTTCAAGATGGAGCGACACGATAAAGGTGCCGACATTGTCCTCGTGGCTAGTGAGCCCATCACCTTTGAACGACGTGAGAACCTTTCCCCCTCTCCATACCTATGGAAATATGCTAATTTTATACACAGACAATTGGGTGTCAGTCCCAACTAACTCAGTTGTCACCATTCACAAGCAGACTGTTATGCTTCACCCAATTCTTGATGAATTCTACGGCGAGAATCTCAATCACGACCGCTCTTCCTGCTTTGCTGTATCCAAGGGACTTGTTAGCACCGCTCCGGGGACAACTATCCCACCACCGAATACAAAGGAACCTTGCGCCTCTTCAGCAACTAGCAATGCCATTGGAAAACCAAACAGTGGTATAGAAAGCTTGCGGTCTGGTCATGTCACCGCATGTGCCGTGTCACACTAAATTCGACATCGAGCCGGTCATTCTTGGGGTCAAATCTAAGGTTCAGCCACGAACTTGAAAGCCTTGTCTTAATATGGCGTTGGGAATGAGATATGCCGGATATCTGTCAAATTGGAGTTTATGAGTTGGAATGGAAGCGTTTGGGTCCGTGTGGTCTTTCGGGATTTATAGTTTGCAGCATACAAAAATCCAATGAATACAAATTTAGCCTGTATAGGAAATACTCAAATACTCTTCAGCTACATAAAATCCACAAAAATGTTCATAGAATCGGAATCCTCGAATGGTTTCAAACATTTGTGTACTGTATTAGCAGTCACGTGGTTATATATCATGACGTAATTCCATCAACAGCCCGGAGGAGAGTCTGGTCTTAGCTTCCTCTTATTCTCCGCTTGGTCAAATCACTCCCTATGTTTATCTTATGAACATGAATTTCTGAGAATTTCAAAATGCGGAAGACCCTGCTACTCGTCTTTATTCACGGCTTTAAGGTATGCTAAATGCCTGTTTGCTGAAGACGTGGACCCCCGCAAAAGATTACAGATTTCAGCTCAAGGATATTTGTTTTTAGCCTCGAACCTACATTGATTGACTAACTCCAATTCAAGGGCGGCGATGATACTTTTGGCACGTTCCCTGAGCATTTGCGTGTCCTCGCGAGCAGAGCACTTCCTGCGGTTGAGGTCGCCACCGCTGTCTACCCTAAGTATGAGACTAAAGGTGATTTGAAAGAATGCGTGGCGAGATTGCGAAATTGGTAAGAATTGGCCCATTCTCTCATGCAAACAGACATAATCTTTGCTGACTGATGGCACTTCTTCTTTGCAGGTTACAAGATACCGTGATTGATCTTGAAGTCGCCAACCATACCGCATCGCCCACTGTCGATCCCTCGGTCCATGTCGTTCTCATCGGTCACTCAATGGGAGGAATAGTAGGAGCAGAGGCTCTCCTTCTATTGGCGGCGGAACAACCGATCCCTCGAAATCCGACTTCAAATACACAACCCGGGTTTACAGATGGCACCGAATCTATCGTGGAGCCGGGTACTTTCATGTTCCCTCATATACAAGGAGTGCTTGCATTTGATACCCCATTTTTGGGAATAGCACCAGGAGTCGTCTCATATGGTGCAGAAGGACACTACCGCAATGCTGCAACCGCCTACAACGCCTTCTCCGAAGTTGCAGGATTATTCGGTTACGGCGGGAAGGGCAATGTATCAAACCAGGGCACCACCCATGCGCCCCTGCAAGAGCCACCCAAAGTGTTGCCTTCCACACCCGATGCCGCTGCAACACCTTCCTGGCAACGATGGGGTAAGTATGCTATGTTCGCTGGCGCAGCTGGTGCTGTTGCCGCCGGCGGTGCAGCCATGTATACGCAGCGCCAGAAGCTCACTGATGGGCTTGGATGGGTATCATCACACCTTGAGTTTGTCGGTTGTCTCGCGCGCACGGAGGAACTGCACCAGCGTCTCGTGCAATTGTCGAATGTTAAAGAGGAACGTGGAATCGGGTGTGTGAACTTCTACACATGTCTCGGAAAAGGTGCGACGAGTCTGGTAGAAAACACATCAGCAAACAAAACGTCCTTTAGTCAAAAAATTATCAGGTCGAGGAACAGGACGTTCTGTGCATTGCCAGCAGAGGTGGAACGAGGGGAGGAATCTCAAAGTCCTGGACTTATGTGGACCAGGGCAGTCAACGACCAGGCTACTGACGAAACCAACGCACATGTTACTATGTTTTTGTCCAAAGAGAATCCTGCATTTTTCGAAATGCTTACTGAAGCGTGCGCGGCCTTGGTCAAGTCGATAGACAAGGGCTGGTATGATTCGTCCACCGATCTGGCCAAGAAAGATGATATCAAGCAACCACGTGGAACACGAGACACAAAAACAAAACCAGACGGGGACTTTATGGATGGTGATGACGTTGTTGTCGTTGACTGAATCATAACCCCCGATGCGAACATGCAGTTCCACAATTCCTCCTTGTTTTCATTGCCGCTTTAGAACGTTTTACAAGAACTCTACCCATGGGACCCCTCCCCTGATCGGCAGACCACTTATTAGACTTCGGTCGTGTGCACTACACCATAGAGCACAGCGAATAGTATACACAAAAATCCTGATTACTACGGTATCAATATTTACTCTCCGCAGGCAAGAAAATTCCAAAGGGTCTTGATCGTCCCGCAACGTCCAGAACGAGGCGTCGCCGCCGTATTCGCTCCACTTTGCCTTTCTCAGCAGTGGTGCCCGAGGTTGCCCCAGTGGGCTTTTTCTTCATTGTGGAACATGGCAGTGCCGATGTCTAGCACTTGTTTCACTCAATCAACGATCGTCTGCCTATTGATCACACCCTTGAACTGGTGTGACGCGGCCCTGAGATGTTCGGGATTTGATTCAGCCGTTTTGCACTGCCGCCAAATGCCACGGAAGGATGCATTATAATGCATAGTAACACTTATAGGTTTTCTTGCGTTTCTTTTACATTATGGGTGCAGTTTCTTGTTGCGTAGTCTATCTCTGAGGGTCTAGCGGATCGACGAACGGTTTGCAGAGGGATGATGGACGCCAACTTCTCCCCAGAGGAAGTTAGCGCTGGGTCGGAACGGAGCAGGCGAAGTCCGAGACATACAACAGAGAGAACCTCTTATGTGTGGTCGAAATATTAACAATGCAAATTGAGTTCAAAATGGAATCCTTTCGAATCTTGTATAATGCATAAAAACCTTCGTGATAAATGTCACCACTCATGTAGCCTCTCTATAAAATACGCCAAACCTTGACCGGGAGGGTTCGGAAGAGCAAAAAGCGAAAATATCTCCCAGGTATTGTATTCCTATGTATGGATAATTGATGATCCATGTAATTATCACAAGAATAGTTGGCCGCTTATGCGGCCTTGACATATCCTTTTGGGAAGTACGGAGTAGTCTTTTTAGATATACTCCGTACTTTTTTAAAGGTATTTTGCTCTCCCCTCTCAACTTCTCTGGGCAGATGGCAGGAAAAAGCCGGAAAAGGTTTAAAATGTGCAGACAGCTTTTCAATATATAACCTTTGATATGATGATGCAACTTATATCCATGCCCTCGAGGATGCTTTGGCGCCCCAGTATGGTGAAAGCATTTGAATATCTACGGAAAAAGAGATAAATGAGATATCATGAAGTCAATAGCCACATATACAGCGCTGGAATTAAATAAAATATAAGCAAGAAAAATAAAGAGATAAGACGGGTCAATAATTATGATGACCATAAGTGGAAGAGCGATGGTGGTACAGGCTGCCTGCATACTCGGAGTTATTGTCAGGGTAGACAGTAGTTCGGCGCTCTTCCTCAGATAGGTGTTCCTTAACCTCCCAAGTGTTTGGCTTGACACCGACGGAGAATTCCAGATCCTCCTTGGTGATCGAATCCCAAAACTAAAGAAAGTTAGCAAGATCAACGCCATAGGCTTGAAACATGAACTTGCCTTGTATACCATCATGACAGCGAGGAGATTGCAGAATGTAGCGAAGAAAAGGCCGTCCAAGTAATGCTGCACGTTGTTGCAGATAACATCGCTGAATTGATACAAGAGAACCTGGCCAATGATGAAGACGATCACACCAAAGGAGATATGGCCCAGCGGCCAGCGGTCATCCAATGTGTTCGCAACTAGAAGCAATTGCATGGCCAAGTACACAGCGATAGAGATGGCGTTCAGAAGGTACAGCACCACGAACAGGCCCGTGGTATTCTGGGGACCCATCGAACCCCACGACTTGAAAGTCGCAAGCGATATCACAAACGAAAGAGCGAACATCGCTGCGGAGGGGACTCGTACCAACCACACTGAGAGGGCTGTGCCATCTTCGTACAATTGGAAGCCGACGAACCCGTTGACGAGAAGACAGGTGCATAGTGCGGATATCAAGCCGTTCTGAACAGCCACGAAGTACGGGAACGGGTCACTCCCTGGGGGAACGACACCTGCATCAATGAGAAGAGAGAAAAGGGTCAGAGCTAGGTAGATATAAAAGAAGGTGATGATCTCTTTACGGCCTATTGGTAGTGAAAAAGTTAGCTAGTTTGCGCCGAGTGTGTAAATAGGGAGTCAGACGAACCGACGGCAGTAAACTTGGACCGAACGTGCAAGATCATGATCACTGTCATGCTAAGCGCCATGATATGCATGAAGGACGCGGCACCCTCGAAGATGATGGTATTCGCAACCTCAATATTCCGCGCATAGCAGTTGGATATGATGCCCGTTGACCCGGAGATCGTCGACGCCGGGCCCACCAAGGAGCACAAAGGCACAGGCACCTTCTCGCATATCGTGTCAAATTGACCGAACCCCATGATGTCTGGTCACTAGGATATTGAGAAGTGTGACAACAAACAGTTGGAGTTCCAGTCGCGGTGGCGGGTCGCAAATGTCGAGAGTGGACGGCTGGTCTCCACAACGACGGAGTAGGATGGTGGAGGAGATGACGGTATGTATTTCGATCCCCGATGACAGCGTGGCTCTTTCTGCACCCCGGCTACACTGTTTCAATTGGCTGATAGCCCTTGATAGCGAATATCGAAGGTCGGATCACTCCTGTGTGAGTCGTTGATGCGAGGGGGAAGTGTCTCAGTTTTCGTTTTCAAGATCACGGGATTGGAATCGCCTTTGTAGGTTTAGCGTTGTTGCTAGGTACCTCCCGAGGTCCAGCCCTGGCTGGGGATGGGCCCGCTATTAGTCATTCGGATATCGATCGGAAACGCTAGATCAAAAAGGGAATGGCTCAAAAGATCTCATGTGACTCGGGTCCGAACTCGGTCCAAGCCGAACTATCAGAACACGCTACGTCAATGGTACGGAGTACATTAAGGGGTCAAGGCACAATAACATACCATTCAGCCTGTTCAACCCCAATTTAGAAATATTACTCGACACCATTGAGGCTATACCGGATGCTGCGGCAAGCTATTATGTCTACTTTTTCGGTCTCCACAACCAGATGGAGTTGCGATAAAGACTAGGGTAACGCCCCATATGGTGCCGTGCTGGCGATTATTATTGGACTATGGTCTAAAGATTTGGGGGGTTAGGTGAGGTTAGCTATTTTAGGCTGCAATTTATCTTTGTTTCTGTCTTTTTGTTTTTTCCTTGTTTCCTTTGCTTCCGTAATCCCGACTACCCCAAGTATGTATCATCACAGTTGTATATTGTACCAGGGATGTATCGTCCATTGAATTAGACTTCTGTACGGAGTATGTGGACTGACCTCTTGTCCCCACAAGACCCTGCAACTGGGGCATTGTCGCACCATTGCCTGTTTTACGACTGGGGTTTTGCCAACTTAGAACCTCGTGACACACAATCTACTGCCCGTAGATCTGGTCCTCTCAACCATCTGTTCGCCAGACCAGCTGCCCAGTTAGGCAAATTGTCTCTACTAACGGATACAACGACGCAACCCTGCAGAAGGGATGGCTTGATCTTAATGGAACCGTTTCCCTAGTGAATGGCCCAACTTGGCATGGACAGATATTGAGTATGTGTAATCCAGATTGCCTGATAGTCGGCTTCCAAGTACGGAGTCAACCAAAGGGGAAAAAGTGGAAGGTGTCCATTATATCAGGTTTCATCTATGGAGCATGACTTCTGAGGTCTTTGATCCTAAAGTAAAAACAAAAAGCTCTCACACCGTACGGATTACGGAGTATACATCCCCCCTTTTCTATTGAATTTTCCGTCTCCCGTATACAACAGATTGGAGACAAGCTCTCCGATGTTTAGTCTCATGCCATCAACGCTACTACCTTGAACGACCCTAATTTGTCAAATCAGGATAGGTCTACGGAGTTGACTTAGTAGGATTTATCCATCAAGGTCGATTGCTATGTAGCACAGAGGCTCAGACACGAAGCTCCATGTTTTTTTTTAATCTACAAAAATAAATTAAAAAATAAAGAAAACCCCTTCGGCTTAATTACTAGACCCTTTCACCGGCTCCGACTGCCCAACTCATCCTTTCTCCGGTTTTTCACCAGGCCCAATCTTGCACAATGTTACAACTATCGTCACCAGACTCTCTACCAACGAGAGAAATCCTCCGTATTCGCTTGACTCTTGGACAAGGAAAAAAAAAAGAAAAAGAAGAAGGAACAAGCAGTGCCAAGGTTGTGACTATTTGGCTTAAGTTCTCACACGAGATTTAAGAGACTGCCGAAGGTATTTGTCTCATGCATGAAGATCCCGACTAGCGCCACGTGTGAATTTAGAAGCATCAACGGCTGCGAGGAACCGTGTCGATCTCCCATCTACCCGATGTTTTGTGATGCTCCCGAGGTAGTCTCCTCATTTCCCGACAAAGCTTTCCCTTAAAAATTAATATAAAAATGGCATAAAAATGGAATAAAAAACTAAAATAAACCTAAAAGAAATCCCTCTCAACGGTCATACAAATTAAAGCCATTCTTTATGCAGGATCCGCTTTCTTGACAAGGGTTTTTAGGGGGGGTGGAGATGGTGGGGGAGGATGCCGTGCAGTACTGTATACTGCATCTTTACCCATCCTTAAAGGATAAGTAAATTTCTTCTGAATGTCTTGAATTTTCTTAAATTTTCTGGGATTTCCTTTAATTTAATTATTTTTTGGTGTTTTATCTTTTTATTTTATTTTATTTTGTTTTATCTATTCCCATGCCATTAGGCGTCATGACATCCACTCTCCAAAGCAAACCGCTCTTATATCTAGTCAAGCCTCCATCTATATTTTTCTATTCTTTACTCCGTACACCTTCATAAATATCGATACCTTATCCGTCATAATCCAATCTATCATACGGGTTCGACTCTATTTGACTATCATTCCCCTGTTATACTTCCCTCTCGCCATCGCAGCCAATTTCACAACTCTCCCCAATTCACCCCCCGATGGGATCGAAATGTGCAACTTTTTCAAGAACTTTTACATATATTCCACCTGCTCCAATCCCGCTGCTCATTTTCTCCGCACCGAAATGGAGGGGACAAAAGACAATAGCTCTTGCAACGACAGCCCACACGACCGCTTCATTGTGGTAGTTGGCAAATGTGTACTTTGCTCATCTGCTCGATGATTGCCTACCGTTTTCGATAATTCGGGCCTCCCGGGTACTCAAAATAAAATTTTCAAATCTGAAACTCGATCAACGACATTTTCGAAAGTTTTCCATCCCGCTTTCTCCTATCCGTCGGGTACTTCTTGGCGTGGAAGACTCCATCCGCCAGGAACATTCCAGGAACTATTCGGGGAGAGCCGACCCTCCACCGAGAAACGCGGCTCTCTGAAAAAAGAAGAAAAAAAACCCCCCCATTTCAACCCATTTTTACGTGACCATGATCGACAAATTTCTAAAATCCCACCTCTTTTATTTGAATTTGTGGGGCAAACCGTGCTGGTTTAAACTTTGCTTCGCGGTGGACGCGTTTTCCAATACTTCGGATTATTGGCTGCTTTGTCTATTGGCTTTGAAAGCGTTTATGTTTTATGTTTTCCAGTCTCATTGTATTTTTTATAATTATTATTCTATTGTCTTTTCTAGCGTCTGGTACCTTGTTTGGGCGTCCGGTGGTTTTCATATATGAGACTTAGACGAGTGAACCTTCTCACTTGTTGGCCTCAATTCGGAGGTTTTTCCCTAGGGTTCACTTCAAAGCCTTGGATCTATTTGTTTTGGTTCATTTGGAGATGACCTGCGAGCTCTTTACTTTCCAAGGATAAGGTAAAAAAAATACATTGTACAAGTACTTCTCACCCAATTCTCAATATAGTCCCTGAATCACATGCGTGTTAAAAGGCTCATGCAAACAGAACGGGTATATTTTCTTCGACTTCTCTGACTGGTTCCCAATAATGTTTAGACCCAACTTCTTACAGATAGGCAATCCAATCCATTCACTTTAACTCTCCAGGGGCCACATGCGCAACGTGGTTACCCACTCTGCCATCACATCCCGCCATGCCTAGGCCAGGGGGAAAAGGGGGGTTGCCCCAACACAATGCGGAAAGAAACCGCCCCAAAATGAAAATACAAAAACCCTATGACTCAACCAAGTAGATTGAGAGATATTTAGGAACCAATGTCCTATTATGAGTATTGAATGCAGGACTCATGTAGTTCCCGCAGCAGACTACCTACGGAATGTCCCCTCGTGCAGCTTCGGCAGGTCCGCCCACAACGGTTGGATGTTCTCCCCGATCGAGTCCGTGCTTTTTCATGATAGGGCACACGGAAATATGAAGGATTGGAATCAAGTTGTGCCGTCTGTTGGGCGAAATACAGGGTATAATTCATGGAACCACGAATTCCCAACACAAAGCGAAGACAACGCAATCTCCGGGGTCGCCGATTGAAGAAGTAGAGATTGGATATATGTTGTAGTTTACACCCTTCCCCTACAGGGATGCCACACAGTCTCGTTCTAGCTATTTGAGTCCTTTACCCAAATTAGCTCACTCTGTTTTATCTATGTGTCAATTTCACCCTACCTCTTTACGTTGCAACTTCCCTGTTCTATTTCCCCTTGGAATTATACTACAAGTACATGCACGATGCCACGTATAACTTTTGTGAGGGACCTTGGAATGGCAATGGTCAAATATACCTTGGAGGAAGTTATTGGCTCCTTTTCCTGGAAAATATATCCATTGATACATAAGAACTTGGGGCTTTGGTACCCGAGGAACCCGAGGTAGTGGATCCACGGCTGATAGATGGCCTTCCGAAACAGCGTTGGAGGGGACCGGCGGCCCACGCGTCCGAGTTGAATCAGCAGAGTAGCCCTAAAGGGCTCCCTCACTAGGATGTATGGTTCCATGGCACGCCTGCTACAATTATTTGGAAGACTAATTCCTGGTCGAACTATGCAAGTTCGGAGTAGCGGATTAGTACAATTTACAATAACACAATCCATGGATATTACAATAGTACGGAGTACAATTGGGGTCATCGACAACCCCCGGGAGTATGAGGTGGAAGTGTGCTCAGTCCGTTTCACACATGCATAATTCCCAGTTTCTCTTTTTTATTTGCGCTAGTTCGAGGATTTTCCGGAAATGAACCGACTATTAGAGTTTCCGTTTCCCTTTTTTTTTTTCTCTCTTCTTCAACGCCAAGACTGCGGGTTTCTCCATTTGGACTGTATTCAATATAATGCTAGGCCACTGCGTTGCTCTGTGCATATTAATTGTTTGCTTGGCTTTCGTCAATTATCACGAATAATAGCTTAGGCGTTGGTTGTAAAAGAGCTTGTGTGCCGTGTCGGGCGCTTATTGGAAACTGTATCGAAGAATCCGTGCAATAATAGGCTGTGATATTAATACCACTGTACATATCAGGACGAGTACGAAGTACAAAATCCTTCATACAATTACCGAAAGCCAAATCTTTTATACCAATCCTGAAGATTATGGAAACCATGCCGACGGCTGAATCGGGTAATTGACACGGATAATGATATATGGAAGCTAGGCCAGTACACAATATATTTCCTATTTGTTTTCATATTCTGGCTCTGTCTCAAATTACAAATTAAAGGTATGTGGCACACGGTCCATGTATAGACTGATGTCCAAACTCTCATGCTCAAAGACTTTTTGCTGAGCTAACGTGGCTTGTTTCAATGTGTTTTCACATGTTAATAAATACTAAACATCAACTGATTGCCATAGCCTAATAGTTCAATGACAGCCACGCGGATGATAACGGACAGGGAACTTGATACCCATGATTGTGACGCTGGCGACATATCTATCATTTCCACGATTGAGCCACCGACAGGGGTCTCATCCTTTGGGAGAAAAACCGCGCATCTAGACCTATATGGCTCAGTGGCCTCTAGAAAACCCGTCAATTTGGTATACCCGAGCATTAGTATCCAATTAAAATATCATAACAGGCTGTGACACTTGTTCTTATTTCATTTGTTCTCGGTTTGCCGGAAATAGCGACGAACTCAGTTTGGTCGGAAACCATGCGATTCGTTGATATGTCAGGTCATACGTTATCTCTGAATAGTTTTAATTGGAACGTTTCTTTACAACAAAGCATCAATCTAATTTCCTCCGGTGGGGGCTGTTGATCTGATATTTTTACCTTGTAGAATCGTATTGTTCTCTTCAATGAGACTAGGTCTAGTGCATATATTAAAGGTAGATAGTGTCTTGGCAAGCGAAATTTAACGAGGGGATCCTCAAAAAGGGTCAAGTAGCTAACAATTTGTGGTTGGTTTCTAGAAACCCAACATCTCCAGCCTATGCCACCAGCCCTAATCCACGCGCCACGGGTTTTCGGTCATCCGCGACTCCACGTTTGACACCATGGACAAGAGACCTACCGATATAAACCTTGTTAGATATAAAATCAACTTCAATACAGGAAACATAGCTTACTAACAACAGATAAAATATACCCCCAAAAAATCTTTAGCGGCATTGATAACAGTTTGTGCATTAATCGAGTTTTAGAGTGGAGTTCCGAAGCCACAACCGGTTGCATACCCACTCATCCCAGGAGGGTCGTGCTCGAGATACGTAACCTCGAGATCGTTAATAAATAATAGAACAAATGGATTTGTTGGTAGTGGAGACAAATCCCGGCATTTCTACCAATCTGAACTAGCTGAAACATCTCGTTTCAGGTTTTGCCGCTGCCGGGCCGGAATATCAATGAACATCAATTATTGTCTCATCTAGAACCATGAGCCCGTCTAAACGTTATCCACTCCTACATCTGGAGTACTCCGTACGTCACATACATAAACCGACAGGGAACGTGAAATCTGTAGATTAGTCTCTTATATCAAAAACCGATCGACATTACGCATATTGTACATCCATCCATGGTGTGAACCTTGAGGTCATTTTCCCCCGCCACATCTCACGTTCGCATCTATCCTTTCCGATGCAATGTGAACGATTTACACAAGTCTAGTACATATGTAGGCACCCAAGTCCCAGGGGATACTTTTTTAAAAAAAGGCCACGGCTGGTTCCTATACGATAAGCTTCCTAAACGACCAAGGATACAACTACCTATATCATTTTCTACGCTCGTCCACTACTACGTCAAATTTAACATAAAAAGATCCCATGACCCAATATAAAAATCCGGGACACCATTGCTTGGATATGAACACCGAGCCGTTAGCCTTTACAGCCCGACGATCTGCTTCCTTTTCGCGAGTTATGTAGTTCCGTGAGAGTGGGGTTCACTTTATCTTCATGCAGGGATTTAAGGTGTGCGTGGACATCATGTCAAGTGTGTTGTGTGTTATGTGTTAGCGTGGATGAACAAGTTTCCAAGGTTAGCGGCTGCCGGGATGACCTGATGACCCACTTAGAGATGATGTTACCGCTTCTTTGGTAAACCTCGGTGAGTAAATAGAGACTAGAGCTGCACTGCGAAGAATATATGTCGCTGAACTATACATCATAAGTCGCATAAATACTCCTACTGTGGGCTATAGATCATCATCGATATCGAGGTTTATAGTAACAAGAATAGCCAGCCACTTGTCCGGTCTCTGTCCTTAACAACGTGGTTCAATCGCATGATATATTTGGCTCAAGATGATATTAAAAATGTCATATTATATTGAAGAGAGCAAAGTGGTGTCTTTGGATGTTCTTTTTAGATGTTTCCTCCTATTCTTAGCATTTTAGCTTCTTCGTAGAAGAATAGATACAATTAAAAATACTTATCAAATCTAGAATACGTGCGGATATTTTAGATGTTCTTTTACATACTTTTTAGGACATGTTCTTCTCGTTGTTATAGCTATGAGGATAGTAATGAGCCATAGTAGTACGGCTAGAAATGGGAAGCATAAAACACACACAGAGACGACTTTCCCCCTATAACCAGGGACTGATAACAACATGAAACTAAACAAGTCAATAGTAGTACATGAACATGATATAGACAATAGACAACATCCCCACCTCAATATAGAACAAGAGCACAAATCAAACAAAATCCCAACCCGGATGCGAAACAGCTCAATCATCCACCCTCTAACCAATTCCAAGCTTCTAGAAACGTACTTCAGGCCGGATAGCAAGCTTCTTCTGCACGAATGGCGGAGGAAGAGGACTATACCTTGGGCAAGGCTTGCACGAGACTTTTCCTTTCGATGAAAACGGCAAACTCGGTAGATCACCAAGATGTAAACTCAGAATCGATGAGGCTCTCTTCCGATCAAAGATTTGACTTTTGCGTTTCCCTGGTTTAGATCCTATTGTTGAGGCTGAGGGGGTTGATGTATGGCTTGATGTATGCTGTGGCAAGCAAGATACCGTTATCAAACTGCAGAGATGGTGGAATGATTCTTCTTCTTCTGTTTGCTCTGGTTGAGGGTTGGATGCCGCTGATTGGGGCTCTGATACGGGGGGAGCAAGAGATGATGGGGCGTTGTCGCTTGATGTGCGGCTCATGGTAGCTGCAAGGACGGCTAATTGATTGACGATCTGGTCTGTTTCATCGTGATGCGGTGTGATAGTCATGATTATATCAGGTGTACGCGGTTCACCCTCTTGGGATTTGAGCTCTTGCGACGCCATTGAAAAATTAGAAGCTTTCTCCATGTCTGATCTTCGTCTTCGGGTCCATAGCTTTCGTAGCAGAAGGAGAAACATGGTAACGATTAAAACAATGCACGCTAAAGAAAGAAAGGCAGTTTGTCCAGTGTCTTGGTATGCACTACGAGGAGTACGCACAGCTGAAATAGATAGTCACGATAATGACTTTATCCGAATTTTTCAAAGGCGTCGTCCCCGAATCTTTAGCTGGAGATCAATGTTCATCGAATCTAGGGGTCCCTTCCAAATCTCAGATATATATGTCCTCGATCAGCGCACGAGCCTTGATACAACGAGGGGATCTCCGACGAGTGAGAGTCCGACCAGTCTGTGCAATGTTGAAACTAGACTGGATCTGAAACATCATCCAGAATCGGGGATGATCAGATATTTCCCGGAAAACCAGACCGTTGGGACTTCGACATATGAGCATAAATATGACTGGATAAGCTTAAAAAGTGGATTCAGAGGCTACTGCCCCTCTCATCTAGGTGCAGCAATGTAAACAGATCCACATGCAAGTATCCTAGCGTAGAAGAAGATCTAATTCAAGGGTTGATGGATCATTCCCCGGGTTGAATCGTTGCAAACGGATGGACTAGTGTGGAAGTGTATCCCGCGGAGATCATTATGGCACTGCATTGTCGTAAACATTATATTCGATCAGTTTCGAGCTATCTTGCCCCGTTTGTGGATTGGGACATGGGTGGTTCGGATTGTTGGGGCTGGTTTACAACGGGGCTGGATTGAGGATTACTAGGAAAGATTTAGTTCGTTTCCAGATAGGTGAAACCCTTAAATTAAAGGACATTGGTTCATATTTCGTCGAATCTCGTTGCAGACGGATCCATAAACATACTGCTAATTCGGCTACGAGCTAAAATCATAATATGACCCAAACTTCCAAGTCATAAAAGCAAAATCAGAAGCAGAAGCAACAGGATCATTGCTTCCTCGGATCCCGGACCATGCAGTACAACTACCAACAATCAGAGTCAGCAACAGCCCAAACGAATTCCAGCCCCAGGACAGGACTAAACACTCCAAAACAAGTACAATGTACATACCATGCAAGCATCCACCCCATCCCGACACTCCATCTCCTTACTCATGTGAAAGCCCATGCGCTCATAGATCGCCACGTTGGGCACACTCTTCGAGCTCTCAAGATAACACTTGACCCCCTCATCATCCGCCCTTTTCGTAACAGCCTCAAACAACAACCTCCCAATACCCTTCCCCTGCGCCTCAGGGCTAACAGCAACGATATTACAGAAATAGTACCCGCGCGGATCGTCCCAGATAGCAGCCTGTGCCTCGGCCTGTCGCTGTTTCCAAATCCAGTACCTATTTGTACGTAACCCGCCGCGGCCAAAGTACCGGATATTGTTGAGCATCTGGTTGAAGGATAGGGTCCATGATTGGAACCAGGAGTACCAGCTCTCTGGTTGTGTGGGCGAGTGGGGTGCTAGCCAGCAGGAGACGCCGAGGATTGGGGTTGGGGTTAGTGGGGTGCTGTGAGATTTGGAGTCGGTGTCTTGCGTTTCTTTTGCGACGTGGAATAGTGCATTATTAATTCCCCAATGGCAACGTGCTGCGAGGGAATCATAATTTCTTTGCTTGTTGAACTGTAAGTGGAGTTATCTCTCAGAAAACGTAACTGCCGGCCAAATTGACCGCGTCACGAGAGAGATGTATGTTAGTCTGGTGATTTAGAGTAGATGGGTGCTTTGTTTCTTTCTTTCTGGTAGCTGTATCTCAACATGCAACGTACCTTGGATGAATCGAAGGCCCACTTGAAATATGGATCGTCTGCAAATGCCTGCTGAATTACTTCAATAGCACCGGGGATATCTGCCTCAGTAAGGGGTACGACCTCAACAGCCATATTGGCAGCTTGAGGAGTCTGTATGTTGGATAAATCTATGTCGGAGAATTGAAGAATGTGGTTGTTGAGGATGTAGCAGAGCCGCTTTTTGTTTACTGAGAGTAGTCAGAATTGTTCTTTGCTTGGTTTAGTCCAAGTATATTACATATGCGAACTCACCTATGTTGAGCCAATCGGCGTAGTCCGTCTCAAAAGTCCCGAAGTACACCAAGGGACCCTGTATGACCTAGCTCGATGGTTCTTCGGGTGACAATTTGGGCAAGGCCACAAGTACTTTGATGGGAGAGGTGAAGGGGAGAAAGAAAAAGAAAAAGAAAAAGCCTTGACAGTTCGATATCCAGACGACTTGAGTGTGGAGAGAGCTAAACCGGGGAAGGCAGTTGGATGCGTTCGAACCTGAAGAAGGTTCCGAGGTTGCCTTATCGTTGACACATCAGTTCTTATCTCCTAACCTTCCAACCATACATGTAGTTATATGTACCTAGGTAACTACATGGTATGTTGTAGGTGTTTATGATACTGTTCAGGTTCTCATAATTGATCATAGTTCAGTGTGCTACATGTATCCATATAAGATATCTGACTAAATTACCCATTTCGCCTTTTGTCCCCCAACGTAGAAAAAACAAGGTCCAGTATCAACAACCAAAAAAGTATAGCCGGTGCATTAATCACAAAGTGCTGTTGAACGCAAAGAAAGTAATTCCAAATATAATCCCAGAAAAGAAGAAGAAGAAGAAGAAGAAGAAGAAGAAGAGGAAGAAAAGCCGGACTCAGATTCAGACCCGGATCTAAAGGATAGATAGCGTCGCTGGAAAACATGCCCGACACCAATTCCATCCAATATGAAAAATAGCGTAAATTCATGATTCGGAGCTCGTAGCAGCTGTATTTTCGTGTTTTTTTTTTAAAAAAAAAAAAAAATAAGGATAGGCGGTATTATTGGAAATAGTCTTCTAGTCGCACCCATTCGCGGGGCACGTCCATGCTGCGGTTGACGCGTCCACCCGGAGTGAGGGGTACATCGACGCGGCCACGACCGCGGTCATCGTCCTCGTTTTCTTCGTAAAACGATAAACGGGAGAAGTAATCCTCGAGAACGGCCTCTCGGTCGTCCCCAACGATGGTATTATATTCTGGAGGTGGGGTGACAAGCGGTGGCGCGGGAGGGACGTCCTCGAAAGCGGGGGGCGCGTAGGACGGCGCACGGAGCAGATGCATTGGGCGAGGTGGAATGGGTGTGTCGCGGTCGTTTGGTGGTGTTGCGAGGTGTGCTTGTGGGGGCCGGGCGAGGCCGCCAGAGTCGTTTGTGAAGCTGCGGGAGAAGGTGTGGCCTGTTGAGCCGCGGCGGGCGATGGGTCCTAGTGTAGGGTTGCTGTCTTCACGATCAGACGTCGCTGGGGCGATGACTTGCTCTCGGGGTGCGAGGGGTGCACCGGGACATCCGCACTCGAATTCTTGGGTTGGGGGGACTAGCTCTTCGGTTGGGGTTGTGTAGGCTGGTAGGTAGATATTGGCCTGGGTGGCCTTGCAGGAGAGGATGTGGAATGGCGAGTCTATGGAGATTTCGAAGTGTCTTCGTTTTGTGGGGTCTCTTTCGTCGACCTTGGATAGACGGAGGACAATCTGCGCGGATTGGTTAGTACATTATGACGAGAAGAAAAAGTGAGGACATTTGACATACTTTGATCCAGTGGTTGATCTGAATGTTCTCGTATGTGGTATCGAAATGCAGCCGCTGACCCTCGTCCCGGCCCTTCATTTCGTGGCAACTTGGCAGTTGCACGTTGAATTCCATCTCCGTTGGACCGACACCAGAATCATTGGACAGATTGCCTAGAAGATTCGTCCGATTCCGATCCACAATCTCTTGCCCCCTTGCGGCGGCAGCGCGGTGGTCCCAGTCGATACCGCCACCTGCGGTGACACGCATGGAGCTGCCGGGATACGTGCTCACACTGGATGAGTCTGCTCGTTTTTCGAAAAGCAACACCTTCTTTGCTGGTTGCAACCGGTGCACGCTCTTATCTGCCGTCCAATGCTGGATATTCTCCGTCACGAAGACCTTGATTCGGTGGCACTCTACTTTCGCCAGTGGGGTCAACTTGAACGCAATCGGGATCTGTGAACCTAGCGGAAAGGACTTCCCCGAGATGACGATGTCGTAGTGAAGCTGGTCTTCCCAGTTCCGCGAAATCGCAATCGGCTCGACTTGCTCCAATGAGCCCTCAGCAGGGGTACGAATCACGGGGACTTCCATGGCGCCGAGGAGATTGGGTCGGAATGCGCCTGACCGTTCCACCATTGCTTCCAGGTCATATTTCACAGACCCCAGATCCGTTTTGATCGTCTCTGGCAATGATCCATCGATTGGGAACTCGAAGCTGTATAAATAATCGCCTACGGGGAACATGCGGTAATTTCGCTGGGGCTGGGGTTGGGAAGTTGGGGGTTCGTTCTTGCTGAAGCTGCGCGAATGCCCTCGGTTGGATTGTAGAGAAAGTCGTTTGGTTTCTCGGGAGGTTGGTATGGCAAGTGTGGCGGTAGAATTGCGATTAGAAAATAGTTCTCGAGTTGTCATCGTCACTCCCTCCTTTCCCGGCACAGATGATATCGGTTTGGCATGATGATAGTAATGCGCACCATAGTCATTCTGCATGAGTGCGGTGTCACCGTGGTTGAAATAAACCACACCATGCGTGAAGAGATCCTTCTTGTCATGGAAGTGAATCTTCTTAGGGGGAATACCTGCACAATATTAGCTCTTGTTGAAGTATAATTTTATGCTATAGATTCATACCATCTGGCCAATCAGTCTGGGCATGGCCGCGGAAACAGATCGAGATCTTCTTGATCTTGACACATTTGGTGACCTTCAAATGCATTTGTCCCCGCAGAATTGCGGACTTTTTACTGGTTGGGTCTTGCTGATCATAACCCTGCAAGTAAAGAACGGGTTCTGTGAGGGCAATACCAACAGAAATGCCACTCCCAGTGGCTACAATCTTCTCATTTCGCAAGGGAGTAAATGGAGTGGTAGAATCGGTAGTCACAGTGTGGTGTTCAGGTACTGGGCGAGGCAGTACCTCGGTAGATGATGAATCCGATCGCATCTCGTCCTCCAAGTCGACCGATATCGGCGAGAATATAATCTCCGAAACTGGTCGGACACTACGGGAAGGACGTTGCAAAGGCGCCTGAATTCCAGACGACCGCAAGCGAAGGAATCGCTTTGCGTTTTCACGTGGACCCGCCAGTTTTTTGAAGATTGAGTCCCGGTGACTCCGTTTAGGGTTCTGATTTTCGATACACACCGTGTGGCGACGAGCCGACCGTGTGATGAGATTGGAAATTGATACTCCTAGCGACGGAGGCCCTGTGAACTCCGAGTGCGGGGTGGGGTTGCTAGAGGCCGACCGCGAAGATAACTGCGCTGGCAGAGGGAGAATATTAGCACCCATCATCGTGATATATCGGTCCGCTAAGCATCTCGGAGAAGTTCCTAAATTGTATGCTGTATATCCCTTGGATATGCTTATGTCGCCGAATTGGGCAAAGACAAGAATGGTCCAACGACAAAAGGAATACGAAGTGCAGGGAATGTGTAGGACAGACTCAACATACCTTTGATCTTTAATGTTGTGAGACGATGTTTTCTTTTTTTTGATCCCTTGAATCCCTTCACGCAAGGAGACTGGTCTTTGTAGAAAGATGGAATTCTCGGGGGTGCTGACTTCATAAGCAATCCTCCACTCTGATCATCTTGCAGATCTCTATTTCGACGTGCAGGATTGGCTACTAGTGTCGGAATTGTGGTCCCTTCTCCCTTTTTCCTCTTTCCTTGATCTCTATTATTTGGCTCCGCTGGCAAGGCGTAATGTGGCGTCGCAGGTGATTAAAAAGACTCGTGAATATAGTTAGAAGGCGAACATCTTAAACTAAAAGAAATCCTGACCCACGGGAAGAAGGAAAAAAAAAAGAATGTTAAAAGCAAAAATAACGTGCCAAAGAAGCACATTAAATCCGAACTCGATGACAACACCATTGAGAAAGTCGGGGGGAAAAGCCCTAGACGGTCTCATATCCGGCGATCCGGGCCATACGTCTCTACCCTCTAAAGTTGACGGGTTTGGCTCGGCATTTCTCTAATAATTGTGGAGAAACATTCCACTAGGGCCTAGAGTTTTTAAAGCCTCGGATCTCACGGCCTATACAAACGGCTTCACGGCACAAGGGCAGTGCTAACGCCTAGCACCTGGGTATCTTGGCCTTCCTAATCCAGGAGGCTGAGACTACCCAGGTAGGTTTAGATGCGGGGATTGAGCCTTTAAATTGCGTACTCTCTTTTGCATGACCTTATTTGATACATTTAGGGTCATTATACGAGATCCCACGGATTTTGGAACCGTATACAATATGATACCCTAATAATTGCGTTCCTTGGCATTTCTTCTCGTACATCTTCTATATGACTTGCATACTATACTCCATAGAGGGTTAGATTTTCAAGGTTCACTCCACGTTCACACGGCTCAGGTGAAGTGTGAATGGTCGGAAGACATACGCCGACAAAAATGATCAATTTTAGTTCGTCACCATCACCTATGCGCTGTAAATCGTAGGGGCATCGGAGTGTTATACTAAATACAAATGATATGACGTCATTACCATCTCCCCATGAAAGTGACCTCATCAGCCACCTTGTGTCTAGACTCTCCACCTGGGCACATACATTTAGATTTAGTACTTTGTATACATCGTAATTTATTTCGGGAACCCCCTAACATGTGCTTTTGTTCTATCTGGGGTGATCACCCTCTAGGCTTTCCTGCCCTGATTTGCTTCTCCACGAGCCGCGCCGATCTTAACCTACGTCACCGGACTTATCAACCACGTACTACGGAGTAGTATACTACTTAATATGTATCTTCCTAGCTACGAAATGAATTACAGAGAAACACAGTTCAAATTCAAATGTGTTGGCGCTATGACCCTGTCGCACAATGAGCTCTGTGTCACCACTGGAAGGGTTCATGCTTTCGGTGGGAGCTACCTAGGAGCTATGGGCGGGTCTAGATTATAGTGCTTTCACTATCTTCTTTGGATTTACTTACTCCCTACTTGGCTTGGTGTCAGAACTGATTTCTTGGAAGGTCCAAACACATTGATTCTCTATTGAACCATACTAGTAGATTTGATCAGAGTTATTGGCTAGTAAATGCTGTATTCATCGATGTTCCACATCACCTACCCGACCAGGAGGAGCCTTGAACCTGAGTAACGAAAGATCCATGAAGTTCACAATGATCTATGCTTAGTACTACTAGTGCCAATCGTGAATGCATGTGGATCCTACCTAGGATACTAGCCATTGCTCTTATCTAAACTATATAGATTCCACTAGTGTGCCTCCCTTCATTTTCATCAGTTGAACCAATTATCATCCAACTCATTAACATTCATCAGACTGTCCCCCTCCAGCTGATTGAATTCCCCACCATTCTCTCCGAAATTATCAGTATCCATGAACAAATCGTCGAAGTTTGATTCAGCGGGCCCCATGAAATCCTCCCCGGAGGTACCCTGCAGGAAATTGCCATCATCTCCCTCTGTCTTCTGTAATTCCATATCAAATGCACCACCTCCAGCAGGGACATCCGGGGTATTTTCCAGTGGTTGAGTCGGGTTTAACCTGTCCGCACCACCAGTAGCGCCGGAAGCTGTGAAATTCGACCCGGATAGGAAAGCTTGATTGCCCATGTCATCATCGTTGAAGTCTAAGCTAAGACCAAAGTCGTTTGTGCCCCCAGCGTCGTTGAGAACTGAATCAAAAGTGAGATCTTCATTGGTTCCGGGGAATGATTGATCGGGGGCAGCATTTTCTCCTTCTTTTTTGACAACTACATCATCGCCCGATTGGGTGTCGGGCCTGATCTCTGCCGGAGCTGATTGGCTCGCAGATAGAGCTTCTTCTTCTTCTTCTTTTTTAGGCATAGGTTCAAGCTCTGCGTCCATTTCGACTTTCTCAGTCGGGAGAGGTTGAATGTCAGATTCAACTTGTTGGTTCACATCACTCATTGCCACATCTTCGATGGGCAGGGGAGCGGGACTAGTGGCCTTGAGAGCCTCGTAATCCCTTTCCAAGAAGGCTTTTGCGATGAACTGTAGAGGGTCAGAAAAGAAAAGTCAAAGAAAAAACGGATTTAAAAAGAAGCAAATATTAGTGTGTTTGAGATTGTTGATGTACTCACAATTTGCTCTGATAGATTATCCAGGGCATTTTGGAAACTATCATGATACAAAGGGATGGATCGTTGCAGGTGAGTCCTCGATGGCATAGAGCCAGATTTGCGAAACAAACGACCAGTATCAATAAGCTACGTTGTAAAGAAGCTGTCAGAGGTTATGCCAAGAGTGTTGTTCCAGAGCCAGCGCTTACCGTCCGCTCTATTATGCTTGAGAGCTCCGTGAGTGAGTCCGGGTTTGAATAACTAGTTGAATAGCTGGCCATAGTTGAAAATCCTGAAGATATAAGCTAAGTAGAAGATAGAAGAGAGAGAAGTTAAGAATTCGGGATGTTGTAAGGAAGACAAGGCCGCTAAACCATATGGGGTAAAGTGTCCTCCCCCCACCCCTAGCGGTTAACTCTTCCTCCCTTTACGTTGCTGTTCTCCAGTTCTTTTTTTCTCTATCACTTCTTCTCTTTTTCCATTTCCCTTTTTCCTTTTCTCTTTTCTTTTTTGGCTTTCCCCGTATAGGGACTTGCATGCTTTGATCTTCTTTGAGCTTTCTCAGCCTCTTTTTGTTGGGCTTTCTACCTCAACGCGCTTTGTATCATTTCAATCTCCGACCGCAGCTTTATCAGGCCACAGAAACATCTTCTCAGTTATTCTATCGGAGCTTGATCGAAAAACAAAAAGACCACCAAAAAAACAAAAAAACAAACCCACCAAGGTTCCATTTCGGTGTCTCTTTTCCCAGCACTGTTTATACCCGGTGCTCTTTGTTTCCCCATCTTAGGGTCTTTCTTATTGGACTTCCTCCACCCTGGTCCCCCGCGGCCTCCTATACCACGTATATTTTCCCGGTCTTATTTGCGATTGTGGCTTTCAGCGACGCTCTGCATTGTCTCAAATTCTGAATTTGACAGATCACTTAACACTGGGCTCTCCCAGTCTGACATTTAACCCCGTCCAACTTCTGCATCACTCGCTTCCTCTGATCGCCTTTGGAATATATCAGTATCTTTTCAAAAGCAATCATAATGGCTGAAAACGCTCAAGCCTCGACTCCCTCTTCTCTTCCTCCCGCGCCTCAGCCCGCTGTCGGTCAACCCCAACAGTACGATGCTCCTCAGGGCAATGGCCAGGGCAACCAGTCCCACATGCCCCCGCCCCCGCGCCCTCCGGTGATAATTCCCCAGAATACCAATCCGATTCCTACCGCTATGACCTCTCCCATGTCAGGAGTCGCTATGATGTCCCCCACAAGCGCTGGTGGATATGTCCGCCGAGCGGCTCCTGAACCAAACAAGAGAGCCTTGTATGTGGGTGGGCTAGATCCAAGGGTCACTGAGGACATCCTTAAGCAGATCTTTGAGACCACTGGCCACGTGGTCAGCGTGAAGATCATTCCCGACAAGAATGTGAGTTTCCCTGACAGGCACCCCCCTGCATATCAGCTCCCCCCCTGAGTTGCCAGTAATTGTCTCTGGAGCTGGCATATGTGATATCAATGCCCCTTATTAATTTTCTTCATCATGAAATATTGGTAGCTGACTGTTTTACTTCCTCCAGGGGCAATTCACCACCAAGGGCCACAACTACGGTTTCGTTGAGTTCGATGACCCAGGTGCGGCCGAGAGGGCTATGCAAACCCTAAATGGTCGCCGAATCCACCAATCGGTAGGTTTCCTTTTGTCGATAGTACTTCATGGCTGTTGTCTAATTGCCTCAGGAAATCCGTGTCAACTGGGCGTACCAGTCCAACAGCACCAGCAAGGAAGATACTTCTAACCACTTCCACATCTTCGTCGGCGACTTGAGCAATGAAGTCAATGATGAAGTGTTGACTCAGGCTTTCTCTGCTTTCGGTTCAGTATCCGAAGCACGTGTGATGTGGGATATGAAGACTGGTCGCTCCCGTGGATACGGCTTCGTTGCTTTCCGCGATCGCACAGAGGCGGACAAGGCCCTCAACTCGATGGATGGTGAATGGCTCGGCTCTCGTGCTATCAGATGCAATTGGGCCAATCAGAAGGGTCAGCCTTCAATCTCTCAGCAGCAGGCCCTGGTTGCCATGGGTATGACACCTACTACTCCTTTCGGACACCACCACTTCCCAACCCACGGCATTCAGAGCTACGATATGGTTGCTCAGCAGACCCCCCAGTGGCAGACTACTTGCTACGTGGGCAACCTCACCCCTTATACCACCCAAAACGACTTGGTTCCCCTGTTCCAGA